TCTTTTTTATATTTTCCCCCTTTTTTATATATTATTATTATTATTATTATTATTATTATTTATGTTTGCACCAGTCTAGAAGTTTTCCTGCAGGTATCACTTGCAAACTGCCTTTAAAATAATAGTGTCCAATGTCCTAGTGCTGTTTCAGCCATGTAGCCCTTTCCAGCTCCCCCTGAGATGCCCTGTCTGGAGGTTAAGAACCTGATATGTTGGGAATTTTTTCCGCTATCTTCTAATTTGATGTCGTTTATTTTCACCTGCCATGAGACTTCTCCAGTGGAACATGTATTTAAAAAAAATAAAGGATAAAAGAAAAACAAGAGGGGAAATAGAGAGGTCGTGTGAGATGTCCTGTGGCATCAGTAGCAAGGATCGTAGGGGACACACAGGTTACAGAGCTGCCGTGAGTGCCTGATGATTTGGGTTTTGTTACTGGGTGTTTTCCTAAGAGTTTGAACCCTTAGGAAAATTCCTCACCATCTTAGGAGTCTGGAGTAAAGCAGGTTGGAAGACGCCGTGGGAGATGTGTGGTTCATGGTCCAGCTTGGAAGATGCATCAGGCTGCTCCAACTCCAAGGTACTTTTAAAATAAAATCCTCTTATCCACTGCTTTTTTTTTTTTTTCTCTTTTCTCAGTAAATCTCGTTATAAATGACCCCTTTATCAAAAAATGGGAGGAGAGCCAGGGCTTCATCGGCCTGAGGGAATACGCAGAGCACATCGATGACAAAGAACTGCAAGTGAAGATTGCAATTGTGGAGAAATACAAGGAGAGGATCCCCGAGCTGGTGCAGAAGATCGAGAGCAGCCACGTGTCGACAGAGGCCCTGGCAGGTAAAGCCCAGCCACGTCTCTTAGTTTTAGAGGAATTCATTTATTTTAATTTTTAACCCATCTTTGCTGCTGAATCCGCCTCCTTCAGCAGAAGATCCACATTTGGATCAGGTTGGACTTTCGGAAGGAGAACGTGGACATCAGCCTTTGAGCTGCGGAGGTTGCTCAGAGCCAGCATGAAGCTGCCAGCGGAGGATTGCTCCGTGTGGCTCTGCTAGAGGGAAACAAGGATTTGGGCACAGCATTTCTTGCTGTTGGAAAGCCTTAGGGATTATTTTTTCCCAGTTTTTATTCCTGTTTACTTATTCTTAATTACTTTATTCCCGTGCTAGCTGCCATGCAACTTGCTAAGTTAAATTTGGGGAGGTGCAAAACGATCAAGTTGGGAACTCAGCAAAGGTGAAAGGCTGGAAGTGCTGCCTGGGGCTTGGGCTCCTGGCAAGAGGGAGTTTCCTTGGCAGAGAAGCTGCCTCTCATGCCCCGGGTTCCTGACAGATCTTCATGATTCACACGTGGAAAGAAGGGGCCGTAGGACGAAATCACTTAGCTCTACTGGGTGCTTGGTGAAATGAGGAGCATGTGAGCGGGGTGACGGGTGATATTCGTGCTGCCCTTGAGTGAAATTTCTCCCATCTCCTTTCTAACGGCTGCTGCACGTAGATTACCTGATGGGCACTGTCCACCAAGCCAAAGGCCTGGAGTTCGACACCGTGCTGCTCTCCGACGACTTCGTGAAAGTGCCGGGGCCCAGCGGTGACCAGCGGAGCGTTCCCCACTTCAACATCAGTAAGACAAATCCCTGTTGCTTTTCCCATCCTGGCCCTTACACCAGGACACTCCAGGAATCCGTGGCTTCTCCTAGGAGAAGCCCTGGAGGAGCTGGGGAGGTTTCTCCCTAAGCTACCTGTGATGTTTCCTCCTTTCCTTCACCCCGTCCTTCAGATCTGTATCCCGAGGATGAGTGGAACCTGCTCTACGTGGCCGTGACGCGGGCCAAGAAGTGCCTGCTAATGTCCAAGTCCCTGGAACACGTTTTGGCACTGGCTAAGGTGAGGACCCGGCCTCCCAGGTGAGCACCTCCATGACAAGGGCGCTTTGGGCTCCCACTGTCTCCCATCAATGGGAGCTGCCCTGCATGCCGCCTTCCCATCGGAGTCTCAAGGGAGCAGTGGGAAGGATGACATCCCAGGCAGCAGCAGGGGCTGCAGATGAGTTAAAAAGGCAGCAAGAAAGATGCAATCCGCTCATCAAGCGTGTCCAGCTCGGAGGGTAAAACAGTAGGGTTTCAACAGAGGCTTTTAACAAGATATTTATCTGCCCTTTCTCCGCATGAGGTGTTTGCCAGCCCTTACTTCACTTCCTTCCTTGCGAGCAGCTCTTGGTTTCTGTTTTGTTAGTGTTATCTGGGGTTTGTTTTCCTCCTGGTGCCAAGTTGCGAGTCATTTCCGTGGTTAAACAGAGACCAAGGTGGCCGCTGTGCCAGCCCCCAGCTCCGCGGTGCCGTTGCAGCTCCATGGGGACATTGCAGCTCTGTGATGTCCTTCCTCTTCCCCTTCCTCTTCTCCTAGGAGAGCTTCCTGCGCGTGGAGCTGGCGAGCGAGGCCAAGGAAGGCCCGGGCGGCCCGTGCTGCGTGTCGGGCTGCCAGCAAGTGCTGCCCCCCGGCTCCAGGCTGCTCGTGAGGAAGCTGCCGCTGACCCACGTACGTGCACAGATGCCTGGCAAGTGCCCAAAGGGGGACAAAAAGCGGCCGGTTTCGGCCTCGCTTCTCGCCCTCTGGCCCCGCCGCGGAGGCTGCGGTGCCCTCGAGGGACAGATGCCATCGCTGGGGGTGACACGCGGCCTTGCGGGACCAGGTGGTGGGATGAGGTGGCCCTGCCTGGGGATGATGGGGTGGGGAAGGGCCAGTAAATGTCCCCGCGAGGGACCTTCCAGGCGGCCGGAGCCCCTTTGGGCCCCTGCCCAGGCCAGGGGCTCGCGCGGCCGTGGCCGGTGGGAGCAGAGGCCCCTCCAGCCCGGGCCCATCTCCCCCTTCTCCCCACAGAGCAACGGCGGCAGGGACGAGGGCGGCCTCCTGTGCCAGGCCTGCGCGCGGCAGCGCCTCGGCCCCGTGTCCGCCCTCCTCCTCCTGCAGCAGCCTCTGCCGGAGCTCGGCCTCCCCTGACGGAGCCTCCCGGATGCCAGCCCCGCTGCGGGATGGGGCCGCCGGCCTCCACCAGCACCCAGCCCAGCCACTGGACCAGCAAGACCTCCAGCCTCCACCATCGGCTGCCTCCGCTGCCCCGTGGGTTGGGAAGACGCTGTGGAGTGACTCCGGGGGATCCCTACGGAGCGGCTCCGAGTGCCCTGGAAGGAGGCAGGGAGCTGCCCCGTAGTGCTGCCTGCCTCCCTGCCAGCGTTCCTGCATTCCGGAACTGTATGTATTGAACTGCTGTATCCCCCAGGATCTCCTCCTTCCACGAGCATTAACCTTCCCTTCCCTCCCTCACCTGGGAGCCACCCCAGGGACCAAGCGGCCTCCCTTTCTCGGCCTTCTCCGTCGCCTTGTGCCTCCATGAAACCCCCTTTATTCAGCCAAGGAGGAAACGCAACACGGGGAAGTGTTCCAAAAAAGCAGATTTTATTCTTCCAGAATGAACTTTTATCCTGGAGGTCGTTTATAGAGGGAAACCTTGAGGGGAGGAAGGACCTCCCGGCCTCTCCAGACCGAACTGAGGTCGCCTCCCTTGCCTGGAGCCAGGAGGTTTCCAAGGCCCCAGTGCCATCTGGGCAAACGGGAGTGTTTGGAGCATGGAAATTAAACGTGTACCAAAACCAAGGCTCGAGCTCTTGTTTTCCTCTCTCCTCGTACGCAGCAGGCGCCGGTTGTGCCGTCCCGCGGCAGCACCCGGGGTCCCGTTGGGGCGCTCGGAGGAGCCCGACCGGAGCAGTGGCTGCGTCCGACTGCCCCGGTGCGGAACTTCCCGGGCAAGGACGGGACCGAGGTGATGGACGGTGGTCCGGGGGTCCCCTCCGGGTGTCCAATACGGGTGTCTCCTCTGGGTGTCCCATCCCGGTGTCCGATCCTGCGCCAGCTGCTATGGGCGATGGCTGCAAGAGAAGCGGGAAGGGCGGGAGGAGGCCGCGAGGCTCCGGGAAGGGCGGCTCCGGCCGCCCCCTCTGCTGCCACCCATGGGTGCTGGCCAGGGAGGGCAGTGCCGGCCCGCAGGCCTCAACCCCCCTGCACCCCAACAGCTGAATCCCAGCACCCAATCTGAACCACCCCCCACCTCCTGCACCCTGCAGCCCCAACCCATGTCCTGCACCCTGACCCACTGCCCCCAACACCCCACACCTGCACCCTGACCCCCTGCACCTTAACCCCCCTGCACCCCACACCTGCACCCAATACCTGCCACCTGCACCCTGCCCGACACCCCAAACCTGCCCACCAACACCCCAAACCCGCACCGACCCCTCTGCACCCCATCTCCTGCCCCCTGCAGCACCAACACCCCACATCTGCATCCTGACCCCCCCAGCTCAAATTGCACCCAACACCCCAAACATGTCCCCAACACCTGAACCCTGACCCCCCTACACCCCCTCCCTGCCAACACCCCACCCCTGAACCCTGACCCACCTGCACCCCACACCTGCCCCAACACCCCATCACTGCACCCTGACCCCCCTGCACCCCACACTTGCACCCAACACCCCAAACCACCCCCAACATCCCATCCCTGCACCCTGACCCTCCTGCACCCTAAACCTACCCCCTGCACCAACCCCCCGTACCCCAAACCCACCCCAACACTCCACCCTGACCCCCCTGAACCCCACACCTGCACCCAGCACCCCAAACCCATCCCCAACACACACCCCCAGCACCCTGACCCCCCAGGGCACCCATGGGCTCACCTAGGGGCTGGGCACACAGCAGCCCCCCCACAAGGCACCGCCGTCACCCCTCTCCTCCCCGGTACTGGGGCGCCACTCGCAGCCCCCCGGCGGCTGCACCGAGTTGCCCGGTGCCGTCAGTGCTCAGCCCGTGGCGGCGGCACCGGGCGGCAGCATCTCGACACCCTCGGGCGCCGCAGGGCGCCGGCGCCGCCACCTGCAAGGAGGGCACAACGTGAGCGGCGCCGCGCGCAGAGAACGGGCACAACTCGGCGCACCGATGGCGCTGCCACTCACGTCCCCATCCCGCGGCGGCGGCAGCAACAGGCGGCCACGGCGGCGGCGGCGGCGACGAGCGGCAGCGCCAGGAGCCCTGCGGCGACACGGCGGCCGCTGGCACCGCGGCGCGACCCGGCGCCCGCGTCCCCCCCGCGCCCGGCACCGCTTACCAAGGGCCGGGAGCAGCGTCTGCGCGGAACCTGGGGGGAAAACGGGAAAATGGGGTGGGAACCGGCGCGGGGCCCCCTGCTGTAGCCCTGCCCCCCCGGGCTGGGCACCAAAAGTGCCAAATTTGCTCCCAAATCAGCAGCCTCATCAAAATCTGCTCCTTGTAGCAAACCGCACCCGCGGCACCTGGATCTGCTTGTGTGGGTTGCACCAAAATGCACTTTTTGACAGCACCAAAACGGCCCTTTTTGCAGCCGAATCTGCTTGTTGCACTTGCTGCACCACGATGTTTTGCACCTGAATGTGCCGGCGCACTAAAAGCTGCTTCTTGCACTGAAATCCCAATTTTGCCGGCTCCCTCCCCAGGGAAAGGGGAGAAATCCTGGGAATGGGAGGACCAACCTGCGGGCTGGTGGGTGGCGGGCGGAGGGGTGACGGGCGCCCGGCCGGCGCTTCCCGGTGTCGCGGCGGTTCCTGCGTGGAAGGAGACGTATGGACTTGGACACAGAGGGGAATAAGGATGGGGATAAGAATGGGAATGAGGGGACAGGGACAGAGATGGGAATGGGGATAGAGATGAGGATGGGGACAGGAATGGGCATCAGGATGGAGATGGGAATGAGGGGACAGGGATGGAAATGGGGATAAGGATCAAGATGGCAATGGGGATCAGGATGTGGATTTGGATGGGGATGGGGATCGGAATGAGGAGAGGGATGAGGAGAGGGATGAGGAGAGGGATGAGGAGAGGGATGAGGAGAGGGATGAGGAGAGGGATGAGGAGAGGGATGAGGAGAGG